GATCAGCTTTCCATCCGCCGACAAAGCACGTTGGAGCTCCACTATTCCCAAACGGAGCCCGGGTAGGGGCTCGGATCTCTCCGTCTTCCCCCATCGGTGCCCACCCATCCCTCGGTGCTTTACACGCAGGTGTGGGTCTGTGAGAAACTTTGACGGAACGCAGATGGCAGGAAATTCCTGTCAAATGACAGCGATTCGGTCCAAACCACAAGACAGTGCGAGCAGAGCCCTTGAACCAGATACAGCAGCAGCGAAGCTCGTGGACTAAACTTGGACGCTCCGGCCTGCCAGCTTCTTGAAATAGGAGCAGCGTCGCGAGACGTCTGTTAAAACTCTTCTAATATGGACGGGGTCTGGTGTGGTGGGTACTGCCGGGCTGCAGCGGCTTCCAGAACTGGTTTTGGGTGGTATTCTGTCAGAGAAGCCTTATGAAAATAGATTATGTTTTGCATCTAGCGACGTTTTGTAGCTGCGTTCAGTGCCAATGCGTCAGGCCGTATCAAGCAATACGTCCCAGCTCTCCGCGCTGCGCTGCTTCCCTTGAGGTCGTTTTAAACAACTTCTACAGCCGTGTAGCGGTGAACGGATCAGCGGAGTTTATAGTGACTTAAAGACTGTAATGAAAATGTTATATTATTAGCCTGATAAATGAACTATTGCTGACGGCCGAGCGGACGGTTTACTATTCGCCGCGCAGCGAGGAGGCCCTGGGTTCTGCGTGGAGTTTGCATGTTCTCCCTGGGAGGCTTCTGGCTTCCTCCCAGAGGACAGAAGACGTCCTCTGTCTCATGCCTGTGGACATGCGACGGGGACTCGGATAACTGGTGACTGTGTGTGAATGTGAGGTGGTTCATCTCAGCCCCGCGATCCACTCATGGCCAATCGAGACTTAATAAACGTCATTTTCTTTTACCTTTTGACAAATTGTTTGATAGCGGCAGGTAGCAACGGCTAACTAGCTAACGCCATCGTAGCCGGCCTGCTGATGAACGAAGCAGCACTACCTTCAGTTTAAGGAGACAAACTTCTCACGTTGCTGAAGATCATTAGATGGCTACTAAAGTGCCTTTGAGCAGGACGTGTTAAAGATGTGGAGCGGCTTACGGAGGGGGGGGGGGGGGCTGCACATGTGAGGCCTTGGGTTTTGTGCCAGACCGCTGCTAGCAGATAACAATGGCTCTCTGCAAAAGGACAGTCAGGGGTTTTGAGGCATATTGCAAAATATATTTGGGAACAGACGGGAAGGAATGAAGCTGAGAGAGTGTGGCAAGAAGAAAATAAACAAGCGCTTATTAAATTACTAAACATTGAATTATTAACGTCCGCCTGGTGAGGCCTCGGGACGCGCACCCCTATCCGGAGGTCCGCTGTCAAAATAATGGCCGAATTGATGGTTGAGTTAAAATCTAAATATGTTTATTCGTAACGACGTCACAACCTGAAATCACAAAAATAATATTCGATTGAGTAGAGACCTGAAGTTGGCCACCCAACAGACTGAGACCGGTCCGCTATAAAGGGAATCCCACTGGAGGGCCGTTTCTGGAAAAGCCCCCCCATGTGTCCTACGTCGTCCCTCCGTCATCAGTACATTCCCCCCCATCTGATTTCCTACCTCGCGTCCCCGATCACCTTATATGGAGTCTCAGCTTCCTGCGCTCTCCACTGTTGCGCAACACATGCAAGAGAAAAGCGGTTTAAAGCTTTTAAGACGCCGTTTCTTCACAATTTCACATTTTTGTTCCAACTGGACCCCTGTGCGTCCAGCTGGGCCTCTGCATCCTCTGCAGACTGCTCTTTGATTCCATTTTCCTTTTTTTTTTTTGGTACTAAAACTTTGAAATGTAAATTCCTATTTCCTCTGGAAGCGGATGACACGAGGAAAAGCTACGTGTGCGTCTTCTCCGCCGATTCTGCGAGGCGTCCCTGATCTTCACAGATCTCCGAACCGCTCTGTTTGTTATGCTTGTATGTTGGTTTTCGGTGGCTCCCAGTAATAATATTTAAACTTTACTGCAACAGATCCCTCTACACGGTCATCTGCTACGTGAACATGGCCAAACGCTAATTCATGTAAAAACAGTACACTACGTTGCTACCGGCTGTGGCTGAAATTCCGTGTGATGTTCTCGTTCAATGAGAGCACTTCTGCTGGTTGTTGGGTGCATTTAACATCGTGCACGCTGTGATATAGTTAGTTGCATGCCGTGCTGGTGATTAATGAAGCTCTCTCGCTGTTCAGCTGCTGCAACGCGGGTCTCCCACCGAGGACCTCGGGGGCGATAAACAAATTAGCTTTATTGTGTTACCCTTTATAAAAGCACCGTGTCTTCTCCAAAATGTAAACTTTACAAGAACAGAAAAACAATCCCAGCTACTTCAGGAGGTGGACGGAGGAGGTGAAACTGTTATATATACTACATATGTATTATATGTCAACAACAGCAGCAGCTACGCATGTAACGAGTATTATTGTACCACAAACACACACACAGAGAATGTTGCCTTTTTTTTCTAAAATGTATTTATGTAATGTTTGTTTTTACGTGTTGATTTGAAGTTGAAGTGACGCTGTCTGCCCTGTGTTTGTATTTCACACTATTTTGACTGCCTTTAAATGCAGCGTATCAACTTGTAATGGAATCATTTTAAATTGTGGTAATGCAAATTTGTATTAAAGGATTTGACGGATTTTCCTTCAGCTCAGTTTATAATCAAATCTAAACAAAGAGGCCAGATGCACACACACACACACACACACACACACACACACATCTCTATACATTTGATTTTGATTAAAGTACCGTTAGAGCAACCCAAAGCAAGGGTCTGCAACCTATATAATCCCGATAATTGACGGGCCGTGGCGAGGAGAAACATTTCGGGACAAAGAGTTAAAGAGGCATTGGCCTGCAGTTAATACACACCGGGAACAATGTTGAAACAGTTACCTCGGATGCTTGCAGCGGGTCGAATTACCCAGCTGTGTCACCTTTGGGTGTTGCATAAAAAAAAATTGAAAAAAGCCCGCGCCCCCTCAGCCAGGAATAATATTTCTGAACAGCACTAAAAACGAGCTGCGCTTGAAGGGCAATCGCCGTTAATGTCCGTGAAAAGGGGGGAATACAGCCGAGAAAAAGCAAGTGGCGAACCGTTTCATCAGCGTGAACACGGCCACCGACGTCATGAACCAGCGCGAGGAGACGATGTGACTAATTCAGACTGCAGGCTTTTTTTTTTTTCGCTGGCAAATATTTATGTAAGAGAAAGCAAATTGGTTTCTTGCCTTACACTAATAAATGCCATCTGATCGGAGCCTCTCTGTGACTTTGAACACTTAATAAAATACATTAGGTCATCTTTGTAAACACCAGCATTGAAGGGGCGTTAGTAGGAACTCTGACTATAAATGACCTGTTGGCCTCCGCGGGGGGAATCGCAGTAATAAGTCCTGTCCATCCAAATATTGCTCAAATTTTAATCAGATTAACTTAAAGTAAAAGAAGCTGTGTCTCAACAGGTGTAGTAGTAGTTATGTAAAAGTAATGTATTATTCAATTAAACTCTTTTTTTAAGGCAAATGTTAAAAGAAAACACTTTGTTTTGATATTCTGATGTTTATCTTAAATGGATTGTGTCAACGTGTCCACTTGCAGGTCTTCCTGTGGAGAAAACATGACAAAGTGCCTTCTAAGGATCTAACAATGGAGATGTAGAGAGAACGTGATGAAGTGCCTTTCAAGTGCAAAGAGAAAGTGTGATGAAATGCCTTAAAGGAGAGAGAACACAAGAACTAGTTTGGCTAATTTCTACCCGCTGCCGCCCTTAATAAGACTAATCATGATCAGTAACCTCACAACTCTGTTGCAGAATCAGTGATTTTTGCTTTTCGGTCTTCGTACTTTCACTCGCGAACCGACTAAACGTTTCAACACCGTTTGTTTACATTTTCAGAGAGTCAGCATCCTCTAAAGTTTAAAAAATGATTTGGTGATTTTCTCTCCCTGGCGTGCAATGAAGCCCAACATGCCCCGCCAGGGCAAACAAACACTTTTGGGGGCGAAACTGATGATGGCTGGCTGCTGTCTCTCCCCGCTCGTAGCGCCGCGCTCCACGGAAAACAACTCGAACAAACAATCTGAGCATCTGGTGAAATAGTCGCTGAGTATTGATTAACAAACCAATCAACCTCCCAAAGGTTTCCTACGGACCGTTTGAGCTACAGATCGAATCCTTCGTCCTTTTAATTGCCACATATTAATTAAATGATGAAATGAGCTGTGCCTCGGCGCTCACTTTACACACCTCTGTGCACTGGGGGCCGCTGGCAGGGGCCCCGTGAGCATAAAGTACGATTCCCCAGCACAAGCTCCATGTCAGGGATACCATGAGACTAATGATTAAAACAAGCCTCCTCATCTGTTTGGCTTCCAGAAAAACAGATTTCCACCCCCTGCGCAGGACTTTTCATTCCAGCAACATTACATAAATCAGTGCACTGCACTGGAAAGGAAGAGTCCCATAAGTAATAAGAGGGAAAGAAGATCACATTTGGGTAAAGGTTCACTAGTTTAGCATAACTATTAATTGCCTTCCTCGGCTCCTCGTTGCACAATCAAAACAAGTTATTGTGTAACCCGGAGAGGTACAATTAGACATGAGAACAACACACACAGCATGAAACGTGTTTCCTCTATTTAGGGACGTTTTCCCCCATTTATCCTAAACTCTAAATCCACCAAACAATGGCTTAGTGCGTGACTTTACGCGCGGGCAACGCTCACAGCGATGTCTCCTCATTCCTTCTCATCGCTTTACATCGTGATCATTGGCAAAAGAATTTTGAAGTGATCTGAGTTAAGTCAACGCTAAAAAAAAAGAAGAAGAAGAAGAAGAAAAAAACGTCTCCAGCGGCGCTTCGCGTCACCATGACAACGCGGCCGCTACAATGTCGCCTACGTTTGGAACGCACGAGCAGCGCGGCGAGGACGCATCGTTACCTTCGCGCTTCCAGTCGAGGTTCGCGGCGTCGTGGGTCTGCGCGCGCCGGCTGCACGCGGATTGTGCTTCCCACCGCCGTCTGCAGCGCGCGCTCACAGCGCAGCCTGCGCGGGCACACGCACGCACGCACGCACGCAGAGGCGTAAACAGGGGATTCGAAGTAGCTGATTTGATCCCCTTCCTGAATGCTTCTGTAAAGCACTTAAATTAACGAACTGCCGAAAATAAAACAAGGTTATGGTGACGTCATCCATATCTGTGGCTCTGATGGGATATTTCCGGTTAAATGCTTGATACTCTTGGATTTTATTATCAAAAGGTTTACAGCCTAAATTATAAAGACATCGAGATTCTTGCCGCAGAAAGCACCGTTTAAATCAAATAGGATGCAACCTTTCACACTTCCTTCTTCTGTGGCAAATACATGTATTATCTCAAAGTCCAGGCACTTTCAACCATTCACTATTTAATTCCCCTGCAGAATGAATCAATGGGCCTGTTACTTGTTTGGTACATTTGGGTAACGTCTGGGTGATTAGTTCATTATGATCAAAACCTTAAACCTCAAATACCTCAAAATGTGTGCAAAGGGACTGAAAGTTGCTTTAAACCAAATGTATACTTGCCAAACCCTGATACACTGTGTTGTAATGATCATTTCCAGTCTGCGTTGCCTTCTGCTGACCATGTGCTGGTGAAACCTCCCCCGGTTCTGCATTAACTACAAGATGATTATTTCCCACCTCAAATTCACTCAACTCTCAGTCCCTCCCAAAACCCAATCACATCAGAACGTGAGACACGCCGACATGACAACCTGTCAAACGCCTGTCCATCCCTCGCACTGCAAAGATATGACACAAATAAACATATTACACAGCTAAATTACAAGTCAGAGTCGTATTTCTGATTCCCGAGATGATGCACCGAGCAGTAAACAAAAAACACAAAAACAGATGGGCGAAAACAATTCACAAAAGAGCACATTCTCCATGGGAATAAGGGCTATTGTGTCTAACTAAATACAGAAAACAGCTGGTTTTGGTCTCTTCTGCTTTACATCGTTTCTCTCTTCCTCCTCAGGTGCAATGAACTCTTTCAGACGTGTGAGTAGACTATTTTCCCCCAGCAGACATTTAGACGTTTAAGCAAAAAAACACAGGTGTGAATAATAACATTAATAAAGGCTCCGTTCTTTTCAAGCATCCCAGTAAAACACGACAATGTGACAGTGAGCCAACACACACAACACCGAGACTCTAAATGTGGAGCTACAAGATAATGCCTTCATTCACTTCATCATTTAGACCTGAGCTCTTCATACTGTGGCAAAATCTAAATGTCTAATACGAATAAAAAGTTTACATTTACATGTCATCCATTGTATATAATCATTAAGCAAAGAAGTTGATTAAAGGGAAACATCATTTGATCCACTTTAAAATGAACTAGAAACAGAACATGCGGATGATGCAAATAAGGCAAATTTTCTGACCATATTTTCTATGTAATGGATCCAATTTTTCCAATTTAAATTAGCATGACTTGCTCAGGTTAAAATTTTAATAGCTATAAATGAGATTCAGTTAGATTATCATTAAATTGTCCTACCTTAAGACACCAGTGTGGGTGTAGAAGGAGTGGGAAACGTCTTGCTGAACTCCAATGTGAAACTTCTATCTTTAGATGAGAAACCTGAGACAGTGAATTCAGGTCATTTGCTGTCTCCCGCGCTGCAGTCAAACCAAAATCACACAACATTTAGGAAATACGAGTTATCAATAAATTCTAGGTCGGCCACAGTCGTTTATTCTGACTGTGAGGTTTTCCTGTTGCACGTAGCAACTTGATGGGACAGGACAATTCTAGTTTGATGTTTATCAAAATATTCCTGGTGTCCCCATTTTTTTTTCTATAGAAGCAGCGCCACTTCCTGGTTGCACGCGGTAGTACATCAAAGATCTGTTGCTCTATTAGTCTGTATTTCCAAAAGTGCAATACATAAATATTGCGAATAAATTGACGTGTGGATACAAATTAACAAATTTGATATTAATTCACGACTAGTAATCGTCCTGATTCGACCAAATTATTCGAGTAAGAATTGTTTATTTCCCTTTATCTTCTGGAGACAGAGGTTGTTTAGGTGGTTTAGAAATACACCATAAACATAATTACTGTAGGTTACTCAATAATGCATGGTTTTTTTTCAAATAAAACCAAAACTTTTTTCCCCCTCTCTCTCTCTCTCTCTCTCTCTCTCTCTCTCCGAAAGAGAAATACAAGTAGCATAAGGCTCTTAATCACTCGTAATATCATATATAATGGTTATTGTGAGCATGGATTGATTTTTTACTCAATGAATTCGTGTGCTTATCAAAACTCCCACATAAAAAACAATCTTTAAAGCTGATTTCGAAGCAAAAACCTCTGGAGGATTTGGCTGGGAGGGACTGTTCTTCAAAAACACCAGGGGAGTGCGTTTTATTTAGCAGGTCACACCGGTATAGAAAGAGTCGGTAAGTTGCGCAGCCTGCCATTTAGTGAAAGCTCCGCCGCCCGTTCAGACTGCTCTGTGACACAAAACGAGCACCTCAGCCGAGTACTGCGCCATCGCTGGTGACGTAAGCTAGCTTGGTGGTTAGAAGAAAGCTAGCTCGCTGCTCGGGGGGGTTGACTCGCTTGTGCGCAAAAAAAGGACGACCTAAAGTCACACGTTTGACCGATTTTACCGAAAGCAAGACATTTTACTCTTAACGGTCGCGGTGAGTATTTTGTTCCCAGACATTTTTTTTATTTTTCTATCCTTTGCCTTTTCTTTTTGGATTTTTCTCAACGATGATTTTTCCATTTTGCAAGTGGACAGAACGTAACTAACGTTAATGTGCGGGCGAGGCTAGCTGGTTAAGCTAACACTGAGCTAACTGACGCTCAGCCTCCTCAAAAACAAGCGTTGCTTGTCCTCTTTTTCTTTGTTTTTGTTTTTTAGAAACACGACGATTTTGGATGCGCCTTAGCTACACTTTTGTCTATTTCCTCCAGTTCGTCTAGCTTTGGTTTTGTAGTGTTTTATTGTGCCTACTTTCTTTTGACGGGACTGGTTTGCTCTTTTTGCACGCTTTTCACCCAGCTCACAGGCTAAGCTAACGCTAGCTAACCGCGTCAGCCTTTTATTTTTTGTAGTCGCCGTTTTGCCCTGATCCGGGATTGATTGACAGCGTTTTAACCTCACATCAGAGTTTTGCATGTTTTGTATTTTTCAAACAGAAACTGATCTGACATGTCTGGGGTTTTTTTGGTAGTATTTTACGGTTGTTGGTTGGCTAACGTTAGCCATGCTAGCCGCTATTGAGCCACCGATGCTAACACCGGGCCCGTGTTTCACCTGTTGGTGGCGCTGTCGCGGTGCAGGACGGTGTGTTGTGGATGGTTTTAGGTACTTTCGATTACTCTACAGATTTTGCTTTTCTGGCTAAGAGGTTTTTTTTTTGCTCTGGCGTAGATCTTGTTTTTTGTACATCCTTGGAGGAGGCTGGTTTTTATCTCATTTTGACAGTTTTGGACCGTTTTTGGCCCAGTTTTGTTCCATAACATTACAAACATTTAACTAATTAAAAGTGTATTGATCTGAATGAGTATTACGGCTGTTTGTTGACGCCTTCACATTCACCCCGAGGCGCAGATACACACACAAGCCCCGTGTAGTGATTCTTTAGATTTGGGTCCAAATGATGTGAAATTTGATGATAAACCCTATAAGATTATGCCTTAAATTCGTACCCATCGTGGCATCTAAGTGTGCGTTTCAGTTCAAGTCTGTCCAGCTTCTACTTTTGATATCCCTTTTTCTGAAGTGACTGTTGAAACTCATTCCCAGAAGTGATGTTGTGCTGATAGTGATACTTGTATTGACATCATATTCTCCACCTAGTTTAAATTGAGGCTTTACAAGACACCAATACATGCTTAATCAATACAATAAAGCTGCTATAAGTCCTCCATTTTTAAGGAGAATATAAATGAGACGAACCACTATTTAGACTGGAAGTCATATTTTGGCAGAACCCTACTATTATTAGATTAAGTTTGTCTATTTTGTCATTTGAAAATGATGATAAATATGACTGTTCCCTTTTTTTTTAAATAAATATATTTTTTATGGTTTTACACGAGTTGACTGCTAACACAACTTTAAACGGGCGTCGCCCTCATTATATAATCCCTTTCTGTCATAAAGTCTACACAAACACGCACAACTAGGGGCCAACACACTATTCTCCCCAGTGGGTTGGCGTGATTGTAATGGTTCAGGCTGGTTTCAAATGTTCCTGATGAAGAGTGGAGTGTGTAGAGCGTCGTCTCACTTGTCCTCATGCATTGCGCTGGGCTTGTGGTCACTCAAGCGAGCCGTGTTGGTGTGTTTGCTCCCCACTAAACTGTACACACCCCGACCAGGTAAGACCCTGGTGCAAGATCGCTCGGCTTGACCGAGGTGTGTTTTCTGTCACCTCAGTACAAACCGCGGCGGTCGACACCAGCCCGAACTGATCGCAGCCCGCCGCGTCAAATACCAGACAGACAACGGCAGCCCCGCACACAGACGCTATGGAGTGAGTGATGAATGTTGGACCCCCTGGGTGGGGAGGCGGGGGGGGGGGTGTTATTGTTGATGCCACTACTGTTTTCATGTCCGCTACACACAACAAGGACGGGCTTCCTACCCTCAGTTCTTTAGACCTTTGCTCTGGGTACACAGTTCATAAAAGTGGCAAAACATTTCTCAAGCTTACAAGCGAATCCATAAGTTGTGAGATGAGTGAATTTGTGCACTCGAGTAGATTCACAACCCCTCTGAAGCACTATACGTTTGAGCAATCACTACTTTTTAACATACATTTAGTTAACAATCTGCCCCCCTCCCTCCTACATCCTCATCAGTTAATCATCAATTGGCAAATGGACTACAATCATCAGTATCAAATGAACATCCATGCAGATGTGGCTCACGGGGAAATAAGTCTAGAAGTGTGTCCTCTGGTGGTCGTAAACTGGCCATTACAGCTCAGTGATGAGATTCAGCAGCTCAGTGATGAGATTCAGCAGCTCGTGCTGAGTGAGAATCAGACTCGCCGAACGCTGCAAATATTGTTTCCAGAAGCCCCAAATCCTGCAAGATATTCTGTGAGGGTATCAAAATGTTTCCTTTTTTAATCTGGGTTGTTTATAGACTGTTAGGGAGAATATTTTTATGCAGCTACACTCAGAGCAAAGGAATCGACCCGGCAACAAAAAAAAAAAAGATTCCATAGGGGTAAATGTAATTTATTCTGCCACTAAATCTGGGGCTTGTTTGTCTTCCTGCTCAGCCGTTCCCCCACCACCGCCGCCCTGATGGCCAGCAACATCACCAACAAGAACGACCCGCGCTCCCTCAACTCGCGGGTCTTCATCGGCAACCTCAACACCCTGCTGGTCACCAAGGCCGACGTCGAGGCCATCTTCTCCAAATACGGCAAGATCGTGGGCTGCTCCGTCCACAAGGGCTTCGCCTTCGTCCAGTTCGCCAACGAGCGGAACGCCCGGACCGCCGTCAGCGGGGAGGACGGGAGGATGATCGTCGGCCAAGTACTGGGTAAGGACCTGGCCGTAAGGACCAGTTGCTTATGTTTAATGGGGGGGGGGTTTCCTGATGGAGGTGAGTCAGAACTGAGGCATAATGGGCGCTGTTCACAAGAGAAACTGTCAATACGAGTGAATCCTTTAAAGATGTTTCCGCTTTTGACTATTACAAAGTGGATTTTTTTACGTAGAAATGTCTTCACAAGCTCCACACCGGTGGATCTGTCTCGGTCTCTGAATCACTCCGTTTCCTCCTCAGACATCAACCTGGCCGGCGAACCCAAACCACACAGGTCAAAAACCTCCAAACGCTCCGCTGGAGACATGTACAGGTACTGACACCGTCACCGCTGTGAACCACCAAAAACAAAACCAGTATTGTTCATCAACCTGAAGCCTCGGCTGACGCTGGAAACTTCCTCATATTTCCTAATGTCAACTTTTGTCTTTTTTAGCAGCAGTTCCTCATTTGAACTCGACTATGACTTCCAGAGAGATTATTACGACAGGTGAGGGGAAAAAGTTTCCGAATGTAAAACATGATGCATCAACTTTTGTGTCTCACTGTGCGTCAGGAATGTAAAACGAGTCTCTTTGTTTTTTTTCTACCTGGTTGAATAAGACCGTCTGTAAATGTGCATCACCGTCTTTGTCCCGTGTTTGACCGCAGAATGTACTCGTACCCGTCCCGGGTCCCCGCCCCCCCACCTCCTCCCCCCCTGTCGAGGGCCGTGATCCCGTCCAAGCGCCCGCGGGTCAGCCTCAGCGGAGGGAGCAGCCGGCGAACAAAGAGCAGCTTCTCCTCGTCCTCCAAGAGCGGCCAGAGGACGTCCTCGTCCAAAACAAGTGAGAAGATCCAATGCTGCGCTCTTTTATTGGATCACTAGTTTCTTTGTTCGCTTCATTTCTAAATATTTGATTCAAACCAATCTAAACAATCTCAATCCAAACATTGGTTGCCATCTTTGTTGATGTTTTTGATTCCACTATTCATGAAGCACTTTGTCTCCACCCGGCTCGCACAGAGGGGCTTTTCTCCTCTTCGGTGAAAGTGGACGAGCTGCAGACCATCAAGCGGGAGTTGACCCAAATCAAAAGCAAAGTGGACGACCTGCTGGACAGCCTGGAGCGCATGGAGAAGGACCACAGCAAGAAGTCGGGTAGGGGGCTCAAACACAGTATGTTCTTAACATCTCGCATCCACCAACTCTCTTCTCTCGACCATTCAGCCACAAACGGATGCACTCGTTTGTGGCTGTGCGGCCGCGATCTGATATCCTGCCTGTCTTCTTTTTTTTTTTTTTTAAGCTAAAGGCATAAAAACTGAGCCGGGCGAAGTGACGTCGCCGCCGCACACGAGCAGCAAGAAGGACGACGCGTTGAAGAGGGACAGGGAGTGCCAGGAGCTGAACGACTCCGACGAGGACGAGGAAGACGATGACGACGCCGACCTGCTGGAGGACGACGAGGTTTCTGTTACCGATTGACTGCACGGCTGTTTTCTACCATCTAAATTCAAAACCGTTTGACCTGTAACCTTGATCATTAAAGCTTAGACACAGAGGTCAGATATTAGTGCTGAAATAGATCAGTAAATGTATTTCTGTAATGTATTTAATTTGTTTAAATTTGAATGCATCATTCAAATATGGAGCTGAACATTTGCTGGACATTTGGTTCTAGCCTCTGAAACCAGAAGTTTAAATGTGTCTTAATTCCTCGCTGTGTCGCTCATTCAACCTGCAGGTGAAGAGTCAAGAGAGGGAGGATGAAGACGATGAGGAGGAGGAAGGGGAGCACGTGGAAGGAGACGATGACGACGATATCGAAAGTGTTAACGGCGAAGACGACTCATAGACGCGGGACCCTGCCAACGCATGACACACACACACACACACACACACACACACACACACACACCCCCGCTTCCAGTAGGAACTCTGACTCCTGTTTTAACACTTGTGTTGTAGAGCAAACACACTCGCATGGTGCACACACACACTCTGTTGTCTGTTGATTTGTTTTTGTCCAGTGTTGCTGTTGGTTTGTGTGTTTTTACCGCGTCGTCGCTCGCCCTCGAGGACGGAAACACGAGGCTGAAGGTTCTCAGAGATGAAAGCAGCCACGAAAGGCCGGTTTTAGCTTCAGTGCGTTTTGGTTTTCCTCATTGGTGAGTCTGTATGTTAAGGTCTAGTTTTTTTTATTCACAACTGTAAAGGAATAAATTGCAATAAAATATTAAAATGGAATCCACTTTATATTCTTTCTACAGCAAACATTTACAACTCGGGGCAGTTGTAACTGGTCTGCTGGTGCGAGTGCCATTTGCATTCAACATGGAGGTTTTAATGGAAGGGGATATTATGAATGTGGTTTTGAGCTGGCGAAGAATTTTCTAGGTATCCAATTACTAATTTCCAATTCAACATTTCTTCTAGCATGAAAACAGTCAACACTGAACCTCATTCAATTCATTTTATTTTGTAGAGCCCAAAATTACAAATTTGCCTCAGAGGGCTTTACAGTCTGTACACATACGAACTCCTCTGTCCCGAAACCCACCATCGGCACAGGAACAACTCCCCAAAAAATGGAAAAAAACCCTTCCAAGAGGGAAAAAAGGGAAGAAACCTTAGTGGGAACGTCAGAGGTGGGACCCCACTCCTGGGATGGACAGACTACAATGGATGCCATGTGTACAGAATGAACAATGTATAATACATGCAATTATATGACAAATGATTCAAGTAGTTGTGAGTAGTAAGCCAGGCGCACAGCAGGACCACTGCAGGGGCAACCACCATCAGATAGAACCACCATCCACAGAAGCCTGTGGGGAGGGAGAGCACAGAGACTTTAGGAGAGGGTAATGTTGGTTTATGAGTAAAGTAATATTAACATCTAAAATAATGATGGCCGCAGCAGGCGTCAGGACCAGGGTCCAGAAGGAACCACGATCTACGGAGACCTGCTAGGGGAGAAAGCACAAAAAACTCCTGGAAAGAACCTGAATTAGTGATGTACATTAATAAAACTTGAATTATGGTAGAACGAGAGCGTGAGAGAGGAGCTCGGTGTGTCCTAAGAAGTCCCCCGGCATTCTAAGCCTATAGCAGCTTAACTAGGGCTGGTCCGGACTAACCTGAACCAGCCCTAACTATAGGCAGAATCAAAGAGGAACGTTTTAAGTTTTACTTTAAAAAGAGCTGACTGAATCTGCCCCCCGGACTGCGAGTGGAACCTGGTTCCACAAAAGAGGAGCTTGATAACTGAAGGCTCTGGCCCCCAGCCTACTTTTTAAAACCCTAGGAACAACAAGTAACCAGCATCTATGGAGCGCAGTTGCCTTGTAGGGCAATAAGGTGTTACAAGCTCTTGAAGATACGACGGTGCCTCACCAGCAAGTTCCTTGTAGGTGAGGAGAAGTACCTTAAAATCTATTCTTGATTTAACAGGGAGCCAGTGCAGAGAAGTTAATGCAGGAGTGATATGATCCCTTTTCTTAGTTCTTGTTAATACACGTGCTGCAGCATTATGAATCAACTGGAGAGGCTTAAGAGATTTACATGAGCAGCCTGATAACAAAGAATTACAGTAGTCCAGTCTGGAAGTGACAAACGCATGAACTAATTTTTCTGCATCACTTTGAGACAGGACGTTCCTGATTTTTGATATGTTACGTAGATGAAAATAGGCAGTCCTTGAAGTCTTCTTTATATGCGAGTTGAAGGTCATATCCTGGTCGAAGAGAACTCCCAGATTCCTGACGGTGCTGCTGGGTACCAGAGCAGTTCCATCCATAAAAACTGTATCACGTGACAGCTGGCTTCGAAGGCGCTCTGGGCCTATCAGGATAACTTCCGTTTTTTCTGAGTTTAGCATCAGGAAGTTGCCCGTCAGCCAAGTTTTGATGTCTCCAAGACATTCTTGAAGTCTAACTAGCTGGTCCGTCTCTTCTGCCTCGATCGACAGATACAGTTGAGTATCGTCTGCATAATAAGGGAAGTTTATGCGGTGTTTCCTGATAAGATCGCCCAAAGGAAGCATATAGAGGGTAAATAAGATCGGTCCAAGTACAGAACCTTGTGGGACTCCGTGACCAACATTGGTGGTCTTTGCGGATTCACCGTTTACAATCGATCCGATAAGTAGGATTTAAACCAGCTGAGTGCAGTTCCTTTGATACCAATTAAATGTTGTAATATCTGCAACCGACGGATTTCTCAAGGATCTTAGAGAGGAAGGGAAGATTAGAGATAGGTCTGTAGTTAGCCAACACCTCTGGAGCGAGAGGTTTCTTAAGAATAGGTTTAATTACAGCTACCTTGAAGGACTGTGGTACATGTCCTGTCAACAAAGACAGATTCATAATATCTAATAAGGATGTGCTAACTAAAGGAAAAACTTCCTTAAGCAGTTTGGTCGGAATCGGATCCAAGAGACAAGTAGAAGATTTAGACTTTGAAAATAAAGAAGTCAGTTGATAAAGGTTGATGGAAGAGAAGGCATCCAAACAGGCATCAGGGCCCACTGCTGCATCCAAGGTTCCTACATCAGAGGACAGGTCGCCACTGGTTGAAGGCAGGAGACCATCAATTTTCTCTTTGATAGTCAGAATCTTATCATTGAAGAAGTTCATGAAGTCGTTACTAGTGAGGTCCAAAGGAATACACGGCTCAACAGAGCTGTGACTCTGTCAGTCTGGCTACAGTGCTGAAGAGAAACCTGGAGTCGTTTTTATTTTTCTCTATTGATGAGCAATAAGATGCTCTTGCGTTACGGAGAGCCTTCTTATACGTTTTAAGGCTGTCTTGCCAAACTAGCCTAGATCCTTCTGATTTGGTGGAACGCCATAATCGTTCAAGTTTCCGCACAGTTTGCTTTAGGTTCCGTGTTTGAGGGTTATACCACGGAGCAGACTCCCTTCTTGTTGCTATTCTTCTTTCCAGAGGAGCGATATCGTCCAGCGCCACTCTCAAACCTCACCACCAGACAAGTTGTAAAGAGCGCGTTTACTGAGGACGGGTGAAAACCACATCGTCTAACCAGTGACACCAACAGCATAAAGTAACAAGACATCTAGTCTTGTCTGACTTCCTGTAGTTTCATTCTAATGCCCAGCTGAGTCGCTTTGTGAAAGCAGCTTGTTATTCTTCAAAAGAGGCATTCCAGTAAGTTTCTCCGCTGGTTGAAATATTTTATATCCTAAAGCAGCAGCTGCTGGCTGAAAATCTATTTTATAGATTTGAGAAATATGGTTCTGAAAGTCAATGAAATAAAAGTGATCGCCAACAAGCTATAATTTAACTTTTATTCATTTATCCAAAAACATTTCACTCGATACATTTTATATTCAAGAATAAAAACACCTGGAGGTTTAACAGTCAGGAATTACTGCAAAGAAACAGACAAGTCCTTCAATCTGCACCAGGCTTTGGTGTCAGAATGCAAAAAATAAAATCAGAAAATTATGGGAGCAATGAGTCACCTTTATACTTTCAGGTGAAAGTATAAAAGTTACATTTAACTTCTTCCACTCAGCGCGGCCGACAGCGCGAGGACGCTCAGCAGGAGAAGCACAGCTGTGAGGAGACAAAAAGGGGAAACTTGTTACACTTCATTTTTTTAATTTTTTTTTTAAAAGGTCTAAACTGGCAGCGTTCCAGAAACGGCTGGTTTTACTGGTTTTTAAAAGTGCATTCAGAGTGAATATCCATGATTTGCATAAGAAGCTTTTAAAAATCAGCCGATTCGATCCAGACTCCTCTCAAATGTGTCGTTGGGACCTTGAGTCCAAAGTGCACGTTTACCGTGAGGCTGGACCGCGCCGGCGCCGCCGGTGGGGGAGGCCGTCGTGCCGTTGACGGGGGCCGTCGTGCCGTTGACGGGGGGCAGGGTCACGTTGCCGAAGGTCAGAGGGCCGCTCCTCGCGGTTATGTTGAAGGGGCCGAGCTCACCTGAACGACGATGCAGGAGATAAAACATTAAAAAAGACGAAGTGTAAAACGTGTGAGTTTGAGGGCCGAGTCCCCTGGAACAACATGAAAACCAAGACTTGTGTCTGACATTAGACGGCGTACAGCCATGTGAATGGATGCCAACGGGTCGAGAACGGCATTCTCAGGAGGAAAACAAATGCCGTGCAACTTATTTACCCATAAATAAACGCAGAAGGTGCGTGTCCGCTTACCCCTGATGAACGTGCCGGTCCCGAGCAGGAGGGTGACGGTGAGTGCGGTGCGGAGGGTGGTGCTGGTGCTCACGTTTGGGACGTCAAACTCACACCCGATCCTGGTTCCGTTCACCGCGCCACGGATGTTTGTTGTATTCTGGGAGGGTTAGTCAACAGAAAGTTGGTTATGATAAAATAAATGATAAAATAATGAACAAATTCAAGAATTGTTCTCATCCCCTAAAGAGAGTGACAAATATTTATTGTCCCTACAAGTTTTTTTTTTTTTTTTTTTTTTAATTTTAAACTCAACACTTTAATGGATGGAAAATGGTCCGTCTAAATATTTCAAAGTTACTAATCCTAAACCTATGGTTTGGTTTCCGGTTCTCCGGGAGGCCTCACCCTCTCAATGGGAATGAGCGTCGCGTTGGTGTTGGAGTTGTTCGTCGCCCGCGTGAAGAACAAGAACGACGTGCCGTTAGAAGCGCAAACGAAAAGCATGGTGGCTGCCTGAAACACAAAGAAAGTGGTGAAGAGACAATAAAGCAACTGTTCCCACAAAGATAAACTCCTGCAGTCGGCGTCTCGAAGGCTGGCAATTATCCAACGGTCCTAAGGGTGCCCAACTCGTCAGTCTGGTTCTTGGGTTTCACGTAAAATGTTCCCGACGATGAAGCATTTCTGCACCCCTCCTCCCTAGTGAACATGTGGGACTATCCAAGGTTAAACCACCACGCTTTGCTTAGAAAAAGCATTTAGAGATGTTGCAGTGAATAATTTCTCATTTCATAACCCTTCCGAGAGCTGAAAGTCAGTGACCTTAAAAAAATTGTAAGAAACAAATTATTTAAAATTTTAATATTAAGTATCAAGCTGTATCATTTGAGTCATAATAGCAGCCGCTAAGCACTTGTGTGACAAATATTATATCACACACGTCTCGATTCACGGCAGAGAGAAAATGGAGCCGTCTGTCGCCCCAAATGAGCAAAGACACATAACGTTCTTTACAGCGGCCGTCTGTTTGACTACTCGGGTCCTTATCAAACAAATATTGCGTTAAGTCAATAAATGCCACATGGTCATATTTTACAGGTGGTTTTACGTCCTGCTGGGAATCAGGGCTTGAGGGCGGTGCAGAAAAAAAACGAGGGCCGCATTAAAACGAAATTTATTTCTGACAGGCGTAATTTTGCGTTGGTTACCTCTGAGGCGCTCAGGGACAGGCCCAGTGCCACGTAGCCCGCGGACTCGCCCTGCAGTTGGAATGACAGCGTGGTGCCATTGGGCAGCACGGGGAGGACAGCGGCCGCGGACCCAAACAGGCAGGGGCCGGTTCCTGTGGGGTCGCAGCTGTCTGGCGCCGACAGACACAGTTTGTTGCTTCCGCAACTTGTTCGAGTGATGTTTACCTGGTAGACAAAACGCACACAAACAGAAATGAGCGCCAGTGATCATTCGACTCGCATTGGACGAACAGTGTTATGAGGCGGTTTGGTATTTTTGGTATGTCAGGTGCATGATGGGAAGTGTAGGATCCAGAGTTTAGGAACCTGGCCCCAAATTGTCGCTGAACCAGATTGGGCTCGTTAAAAGGTTTTTGTTTTCAAAGTCGTGCACTGAACGACGGGACGACTTCTGCTTCCTAAATGTCGATGTGCAACACAAAACTTCCTCAAAAAGTCCAAATACAGGAAGTTTGACAGGTGACGCAGTAGTGATTTAAAGTTCTGGGGAAGCTAAAGATAAACACCTTTACGCTTACTTATTTTTTCTGAACACAATTTAATTTTAAAAATTGTGTTATTTGGAAACTGGCCCTCAAACAAATTGTTTAAAATTGCAAAAAAAAAAAAAAAAAAGGTCAAGAAGCTGTGATGATTCACACAGAGGGGAATAAAGTGAAAGATATCCAACCTGCGTGTTGTTGGAAAACTTCAGATGATTCGTTCCTTGGACAGCCGGTGACGCATAGAGGACCAGCGCCGCGATCAGGATGAATCCACGTTCCATTCTTCAAACAAAGCTGACCAACAATCGGAAACACAGGACGCGTAGTAAAATGTCTGGTCAGACTGTAGTTTAAGTTGGAACATCAATCACAGCCGTGCAAAGTGTTTGCATTTCAATTAAGCACAATTACGAAGAATCGAAAATCAATACTTCAATTGCCAAATTTAAAAAAGGGAAAACGTACGTGTTTTATGCAAAAGTCTTTAAAATCAATACAGCAAAATAGATTTGATTTTCAAGTCCTCCGACCCTCAATTAAGTATAAATGAGGCGCTGCTGAAGGAAGAGAGACTCACCTGCGCTGTGGGCGTGAGAGGTGAGCGGGTTCCGTGTCTCTGCTCGTCTGAATGAGTTCGATCTCCGCAGGGCGACTTAAATCCGAGGTCAGAGCCCACAGGTGGTGTTGACGGAGGAGGAGGGGGAGGGACTTCCTGCCGCTTCCCGGCGAAGGTGTGGCTTTTCAAAAATTTTTACCTGGTGTGAGGGAAGTCAATGAAGCGGACAAAGCACATCCTTTATGAACTAGTTCTGTGGTCCAACGTCGTTTAAACGTTAACCATCGACCCTTTATCCTCTTTAAAAAGTTTGATTTATCTCAAAATAAAAAGTGAATATATTTCAAGTTAAACATGAAGTCAGATGTTTTAAGCTTTCATTTAACTCCCGCCAAGGTTCGGTGTATCTGTACAGACACCAGAGCCTATTTGAATTGTGAACAAGTGCATTAGATTATAAATAAAAAGATCAAATAGAACACAAATATAGTTGTGAGAGAAGTGTTCAAATGAAGTTGATGAAAATGAAGTCTCCTCCAGCTGAGATGTTGGGGATTTTTTGGTGAAGATCACTGACGTCAGTCGTGACTTCTCAGAATAAAGTCCTGTGCATCGTGTTCCCTCGTGAGCTGTAGCCGTCATTACGTAGAAATGTTCCTCCGTTTGATGCCAAAATACCACCGTGGACGGTTTCCGGTTGTCTGTTTCCAGTTAGAGGGAAATGAACTTACACAAACTTACTGTTAGGCACAAATGCAACAGTGTTGCAAGCGTATGAATCCACAAACCTTGATTTGATTTAATGGAGCGTTAAAGGAAACCTAATAATGACACTGAAGTTTTATATTCTTCTTTGAATAAAAACCAACATTCAACAGATGGGACTTTTTAATTAACCGAAACTGCAGTCTGTTTTATACTCCTGTCAAAGTAGAGAAGACTATATAACTACAGTTCTATAAAATCATTCCCTGAGACTCGAGACGGGTCAAGTTTCTTTTGCCACTACCGGAATGAGAAAGAAGCAGCGTTGAACTTCTCCTAAAACCACAGGACATCTTTGGTGCATGCGCCTAATACAACACGGCACAGTACTGGGTACTACGTATATGCAACAGAGTACTACAGGGTCTCAATCAGAAGTTCATATTTCTACCGGCTGAGACAAAAGTGGAGTTTTAACGAGCATCACGACGAACAGCGACGCCGCCGATTAGCCGTTGGGCGAATGTCAGAATGACAGATCCTGAAAAGCCTGTTGAAGTACCACGCGATGATGCCGCCACTTCACATTCAACGTTGAATCAAAGGCAGCAAAAATGTCTTAAAAGAAGAAGGAATCCCCTCATTTGGGGGGTCACTTGATCCTCCACGAGGATCTGAGCTCTCAAATGTCACCGAGCAGCTTCGTAAAAAAACTCCTCTTCGCTTTGCCTCATTAAAGATTTAATCGCAGACAAACTGAACGCGTCAGAAGAGAGATATGCAAAGAGTGTGTTGACTTGAGGTATGGAATGTAATCAACTCCACACCTTCGCGGAAGGTTCGTTATTTGCCGCGAAAAATGAGGGCAAATATGTCCAACAGGTTTAAACCTTCGATTGACGTCACTTTGAAGGTTTGAACGCAGTTTCACATGAAACTCTGTCTTCACTGAGTAAAACATTTTTAAATGCATAACATTGTCTTGAGCAATTTTGATTAACAATAAATCTTCATTAATGTAACAATAACAATAATACTTTCATCAACTTAAGGTCATACGATTCTGTCCTCAACCATATTCCTGGAAGTCTGTTAACCTCATATTTAACACCGGAGGAAAACATCCAGCCAAACGCCTGTCGCCTCATTACGACACGTTGAGGAGACCTGGTTCAGAACATTGAGGAGACGTTGAGGAGACCTGGTTCAGAACATTTTAATCAGTCGTCATTGGGCAAATCCGTCACATGCGCACAGGCATCACCCGGTCGGGTGTTTGTTCAGCAGGTCAGGGCCGCTTTGGCTGAAACACTTAGCGGAGAGCGGCCCGCTGGAGCGGAGCGAGGAGGCAGCGAGCGCAGAGGAAGCACAGCGGGGGCCACATCGCCGCCGCAGGAGCTCCTTTCTCCTTAAAGCCAAAGGGAGTTTGCACTGTGTGCTGTGTACATACACACACACACACACACACACGCACACACAGACACGCTCTCGTGATGGTAGCCGATGGGCCTCCACAGGCTCCGTCGTGCACAAAGGCAGGCGAGCGCGGCGCGATGCAAATGACCAGACGCAAATCGGCTTCGCCAACAGAGGCAAATGTTCTCGTCTTTTCCGCCCTGGAGGCCGGGGGTCATTTCCAGGCCCATTTCCCTAAAGGCTTTTCCATTAGCTAAATGTTAGCAACACGGGGACATAGAGGCAAGTAGAAGTACCTGCATGTGTTTTTATAGAAAAGGGTTGACATAAAATAGATACACGATAATGTCAGTGCATCATGAGTTGATGGATTAATGGATCAGTGTCTCATTCCACAAATAAATGGAATTTTTTTTGTCGCTTTTCTGTTTCCCCGTAAAGAATGTGCTAGAATGAATGGTGGGGGTGAAAAAAAGAACATTCCATAAAGTGTTGTGACCGTGCTTCAACAAAACTCGTGTGACCGGACTCGCCACACACACACACACACACACACACACACACACACACACTTAATCACTCAATCACTAACCAACGTCGTCGCAGACAGGAATGTGCCCAAAACCCGACGACCAGGTTGTGAGAACACTTTCCGTCCCTCATAAGTTTTCCTATTTTATTCACGTTTCCCTTCTTTTGGCGACACTTTCCCGCGCATTAACACGGGTGGAGAATAAAAGGCTTCCGATCCACAGAAGCTAAACGTCGTTGGATTTGCAGTTCTGGGATACAAATAAAAGGAGAAGATAAGGAATAAGATAAGATTGTATCAGCTGCGCCTTCGTTAAATAGAGCCACTCCGAAAACTTCGCCCATATTCTTTTTTAGCTCTTGGTGAGAGGAAAAATACACCGTGTCAGAATAAGAGGAGAATAGTAGTAACACATCTGTGGAAGAGGGAGCGGGTTGTGTTTGATCAACAGCTGATGAGCAGCTCACCCTCTGTTTTGTCTCCTTTTATTCTTTGAAACCTTATGATTTGCATAAAGATTCTTTTTCTTTTTATATAGTTAATATATTTTAAAAGCATTGCTTTTCCAAATATTTATTGACAAAAGGTGTTACTGCAGTAAGCAACAATTCCTCAATGTAAAAATACATTTGACGTTTTATGTGATTCATAACATCAACAGCATGTTAAAGTATCTCAGTTAAACTGAGGCTACATAGATGTGTAATTATATATAATTAAGCAATTACGAGAGGCTGTACTTTATTTAACAGTTTGAGGGCGTTGTTCGGTTTACGGGAACAGAAACTGTACATAATCACGCAATGATGTACCCATCGTGACTCACTCACAACCAATCAGGACGCTGGGTTTCATCTACCCGTGTTATAATATAATATTCATGTAAATATAGTTTTCCTTCTTTATCCTTTTCTTACGTGATACTTTTACGTTGTTTTTCATTTAATTTCATTGCTTTGTCGGTGTTTGTATTCTGCCAAAACAATACATTTAGGTTATCGCCGATATCACTGTTTGGTAGTGAAAATCTTAACATACCAAGTAACAAAAGCTCTGTTGTGGAGAAAATGTGCTACAACCATTTACACATTGTTGTTGTTTGGACCGCTCTGCTTTCACAAACGGAGTCGCAACTCACTTCTGGTGCAACAAGCTTTTGTTTAAACCAAATGGGAATTTGAATGTGGTCAAATTAGTGACGTCACGCAGCAGTTTATCCACGTTTCCCCTTTGACAGCGCGCAGTGTTCAGCTCTCTGCTGCCTCCTGGTGGACGTCAGCGGCGGAACCGAGCGCACCGCCAAGAGATCACGATATATAGATTACGTTACATTACAGGTCATTTAGCTTTTATCCAAAGCGACTTACATTACATTTTTAACCCATGGCTTTTTACATTTTATATACATACATTATATATATTGATATATAATATATTGATATATATATATATATATATATATATATATATATATATATATATATATATATATATATATATATATATATATATATATATATATATATGGATACGATTCCACCCAGTGGCCTTTCTGTGTGGAGTCTGCATGTTCTCCCTGTGTCTGCGTGGGTTCTCTCCGGGTTCTCCGGCTTCCTCCCACGGTCCAAAGACATGCTCTGGAGATCAGGTTAATTGGTGACTCTAAATTGCCCGTAGATGTGTGAATGTGAGTGTGAATGGTTGTGTGTCTCTGTGTTGCCCTGCGATTGGCTGGCGACCAATCCAGGATGTACCCTGTCTGTCGCCCGAAGTTGGCTGGGATGGACTCCAGCCCCCCCCGCGACCCTGTTTGCAGGATAAGTGGTTTGACAATGGATGGATATATCTATCCTATCTCTCTCTATATATATATATATAGATCTATAGATATATCTATGTATATATATGGATATTTATATATAGATATCCATAGATATATATATATATATCTATGGATATATATATAGATGTATCTATAGATCTATATATATATATAGATATCTATATATCTCTCTATATATAGGATAGATATATATATCGATATATCTCGATATATATATATATTGATATATATACAGTATATGTATTAAAACATATTTACATATATATATAGTTACCTTTTGTTTTGAATCGATGTATTGCGTTTGAAGTATTGACATCAGGAGTTGATGTACTTTTATGTGGATGTGAAAATAAGAATGTTGTTGCGCAAGATCAAAAAGCAGAAACCGCATCACATTGTGGAAACAAATGTATTTGTTCAACAAGAAACCAGCACCATATATAATAATACATTAACCCAAATAAAAATATAAGGTACATCTGTAAGGTACAGATCAATTGTGAGACAACTGCAACCACCCGTTATAAATACAAACAAGTGAAGCGCGGCCCAATATTCCAGAAGTTTAAAGTGCACACAGCGAAATAAGTGTTTAACAGGTATAGAGGAAAGAAAAAACCAACACGAAAATGTAGCTGCTATTTTTGTATCACCTGAAATAGAACACCTGAATGAGAAAAACAAGGTAAAGCAAATATGGTCTCTAGTGTGTAGTTTAACACCAGAATAGAACGTAACAGGAAAAAAATATATAAATGCACAAGTTTCATCACAACATCAGAATGGGACATTAAGCACATTGTAGCACCCTCCACAATTTGACATTTTTTGCATCGATTTTGCAGGAAATCTGTTTAAATAAAAAAATAAAAAGAATAAAAAAAAAAACTTTAATCATCAAAAAAGAGAATTCTTGCATTCTTAAACGCCTGCTGTACAGCAGAGTCTCAGATAAGTTGATAAATGCAGCTTATTCCTTTTCAATAAAAAGAAAACTTTATAAAAATAAAAAAAAGAGCTTTGTCACATAATCTAATTTATTCTCTTTGTCCTATTCTCTCTCAAACCACAAAACCTTTGATAAATAAGTTTTCTTGCATGAATCAGTCCGACCTTTTTCACACTGCATGTTGAATATAAACAATTGTCTACGTTTCTCATTAGTTTCTGTGAAGGCTTCGGTCTAAACCTACAAATATGTGAATAAGTTCTGCTGCTATATTCATAGAAATGTAAAGTTCTCCTTTATTGACACGAAGCGATTTACATCTAAAAGACATCTTAAAAACGAGCGAGTCCGTAAATCTAATTCAATGACCTCTTTGTCTCGGCAGGAAAACCAAAAACACTTATAATCCACAAATAATCCAAACCCAACCGGATTCGTGTTTAAAAATCCACCAATGACTTCTTTAAAAACTAAATATTGAGACCGTCTTCCAGCAGCGCCTTCGAGGTGGGTCGAGATCTTCGGTCACTTCCCCTCGTCCCTCTGTCCTCTTCTCGCTTACCCTTCTTCTTCTCCACCTCACCCCCCGGAGTCTCAAACCTCCTCCTGGCGTTCTCCATCCTGCTCCCATGTCTCTCCTCCGTCCTCCTCTCCGCGTCCCCTCCCCCTTTCCTCTCCTCTCTGCTCCTGTCCATCTCGGCGCTCCTGTCCTTCCCTCCTGCCTCCTCCGTCCCCCTGGAGCTCCGCGTCCCGTCACTTTGCTTCCCGTCTCTCCTTTTGCCGGTTTCCTTCGGTTCGGTCCTGGGGGGTCGGCCCGTGTCGCTGCTCCGCCTCGAACCTTCTGCGTCTTTGTTCCTCGGCCTCCACTCGGGCTTCATCTCGCTCTCCTCGTCCCCGCCGCTCGGACTCATTTTACTTTCTCCACCCGTCTTGATCGATGTTTTTCCACCTCGGTCCTCTCGTTTTGAATCGCCCGTTTTTTTCTTATTGGCTCCGTGGTCTTCTCTTGCCAGGTCTCGCTTGCTCTGATGCTTTTCCTTTCCTGCTGTGACGTGGTTCTCAGCGTCTTTGTCCTTCTTTCCTTTCTGAGGTTGTTCTTCTTTGGCTGCTTTGATGGACACTGGATTTTTTTGCTCTTTTTCTTCATCAGGGTTCTTGCGCTCAGATTGATTTTTGGGCTTCTTGCTTTCTGTCTTTCCCTCGTTCTTAGCATCCACCATCTCCTCTCTGTCCTTCTTTTCCTCTGGCTCTCCTCTTTCCTCCTTACTCATCAACATTTCCTTCTCCATCTCTTTACTCTTTAGCCCCTCGTCGACCTTCTTGTCCAGTTTCTCCTCCAGGAGGTCCAGCTCCTGCTCCAGTTCAGCCAGCTTCTTCGGATCCGACTCGTAATCATCAACGTCCACCACCTCCTCCACCTCCTCGATCTCCTCGTACTCCTCCACCTCGATGCCATCCATGGTCTTCTGCAGCTGCGTCTTCACTTTGTTCAGCTCCAGGAGACCGTCCTGAAGTTCCTTGCAGACGTCCCTGATCTTGGTGGCAAACTTAGTTTTTGCTCCCTTGCGCAGCTCGTGGGAGTCTTTGGCGAGGAAGAAGACGTCCAGGGCGAGGAAGAGCGCCGACATGACCCCCGTGGTGACGCTGATGGCCTGGGCGGCTTTGGCGGCGCCGCCCGCAGCGCCCAACACCTGCACGGTGCTGATGAGCTTATCCGTGTTGATCATCAGGGCTTTGCCGGCACGGCCGCCCTCCTTCATCACGTGCTTGAGGTTGTGGTTCAGCGCCTTTTTGGCGGCGCTTTCTGAGTATTTCTCAAAGTCCCACTCCTGCAGCGTGTCCATGCCCGCCTACGAGAGGCACAGGGGACAGAAGAGGAGGCTGAGAACCTTCTCAGGTGGAGAAATCTTTTTCAATGAATGCATTTGTAGGGACAGCGTTAAAATAAAAGGGTTCCATTGATTTTATTGATCCCTTTGGTTTGAGGACATTTTCAAAAACCTTCACGGTGCAACAATGTTTCCTCAAACAACCTGAATATTGGAATTTATGTCCTCACCTGCACGAAGTCCAAACACTCGCGGATGTCTTTGATCTCGTCCTGGTAGTCCTGGATCATCTTCTCCAGCTTCTTGCGGTCCATGTTGGAGTGAACGGCGTCGGTGATGTTGGCGGTCGCCGAGGTGATGCTGCCCGCCGTCGCCACGCCGATCCCCACCGCCGTGACGATGATGGAGGCGCCGAAGGTGAACGGCGCCAGAATGAGCCCGGTGATGGTGGCCACGCTGCCCGCCACGCTGGCCACGCCTCCGCCCACGGCGGCCTTCACCGTCTTCTTGTGGAATTCATCCGCCGCGTCGGCGAGGGCCAGCAGCTCCAGGATGCGATGCTGCAAGGACGCCCCGCGCCGGTTGAAGAAACGCACGAACAGGCGGGCCGCCATGTAGACGCGGTCGGCGGCCTGCTCCATCGCCCTGGAGAGATCAGCAATGGTCGCCATGACGACGAGGACGAGGAGGAGGATGACGAGAGGAGTTTTAAAAAACTTCGCAGGAACAGAATGAACCACAGAAAGATGCAAACGACAAACCCCGAAAACAAATACAAGCTTACATCTGCTCGTCTCCCTCCTGGAAATGTGACGTCTCGTTCCACTCGGCCCAACCTGGGAAACGGAACAAGGCGGTTAAATAACGGACAAAAAAAAAAAAAACAACAACGACACCATCAAATCGTCACACTGACCTTTGACTGTGTTCCACCAGTCCATCAAATCATCGTCAATATCCTATTTTCAATAAAAACATATATTCATACAAACAATACTTATTAACAATTCTCAGTCTACTAATACGAATAAGATCTTTGTGAATATGCCGACTAACTGAACAAAACCCCGAAGGTGTGAAAGTGTCCCGAGACGCACGTGTTGGATCTCCAGAGGGTTTCCCTCGGTGGGATAAGCTGCCATCTCAACCGGCTGGTGCTCCACTCGGCTCTCCTGGAAAACCCCCGGTAACAAACAAATAAACAAACGACTACCCGTAATGAAGCTGCATAATAGTAAATATGTGTCGAGGTGTATGTTGGTCTCGGATGAGACTTTTTAAAAGTAGATCTTATAATAATAGTAATATCCGAATGCTGACCGGTGGGGAGTTCAGCTCCTGCAGCTCAAACGTCTCCTCAATCAAAGGCATCGTTTCAGAGCCCTGTGGAGACAGAAGCAAATAAAAGGACTTCTATAATAAATAAATATGAATCAAAAAGGAGGATCAACCACACTTGTGTTAAACACTAAACCAGGATAACCAACCAGTGAGTGTCAATAACCAGAGGAGAGGAGAGCGTACCTGAGAACTTGGACTAAGTTTGGGTATTTTGGGAAGAGTTTTCTTGATTCTGAATGAAACAACCTAAGACAAAAAAAACAACAACAAGAAAATAAGCGTTTGTCACCGAGGAAAAGACAATCGGCAAAGTCGAGAGCTCAAGCAGGAACCTCAAAAGCTCAGCTCAGACTGAACCACATGGAGGTTTCTCTCACAGCGACTCACCCGTTTCTTCCTCTTGATGGTCGTCCTGCGTCTGGGTCCGTCTGCGCCCGGCGCCTCCGTGCTCTCGCCCTCCTGCGCATGAAGACGGACACGACTGCAGCTTTATTCGGGACTTTATGAGCTCATCTAATTTGCCGTTTAACGTCACAACATTTCACGCTTTTCTTCTTTGCAAATAACATCGTACCTGTTGTTGCGCTTTGGGCGTCTTCTTGAACTTGCTGGCAAAGCCCACTTTTTTCTCCTGTTAAAAGAATCATTTCATTTCAGGGCCCAAAAAAGGCAAAACATGCAGGTAGAAGAACTCGTGCAACATCTACGTGGAGGCTCACTTTTGGGGTGTTTGTTGCTTCAGTGAGATTGTCATTACTGGTTGACATTTCTGAGGGAATATCCTGTAAAATGGAGCAAAAATGATTTCTTATGACTGATTATTAATTTTGTAGAATAGAAAAGATCTAAAAGCTAAAAACGATTCAGGCGAGCGGCGGAGGAGCTTCACCTCGGCGAGGCTGTCGCAGCTGGCAAACAAGTCCTTGGAGTCGTTGAGCGGATCCTGGAAAACCAGAAAAAAAACAAATCAAAGGCTTGTGGGTAATCTGGTTACTTTACGAACGTCACCATCGAAAAGGCTGAAGGCGATTTGGTTACGTTGGAGGCGGCCGAGCGATGAGCCGGTTTAGGAGACTTCTTGAAGATCCCTGCGAGTCCTCCGGTCTTCCCCTGAAAACACACGAGACGCCCGGTGACGTCGGAATGCTCAACCACAGAAGAAGAAGAAGAAACGCGCCGCGGTGGCGATCGGACTTCTGTACCTTCGCTGCGTGTCCCTCGGATAGACTCTCTCGACTGCCCGGTAACGTTTGATCATCGCTTGACTCCTGAACGGGCAGAAAGAGACGTGAACACAAAGCAGAGTCACATGGTGCGATGGCGTGTAAACGTCGGGGGGGGGGTACCTCGTCTGTTGTGGTCCCCTCTGCCGGCTTGGGAGTCTTTTTAAACATGCCGCTGAAAATACTTTTCTCCTGAGAACGTCAACACAATATGTCAGAAACACTTATTGTAATTTAAATGATGTATTCACAGGTGGGAGTCTGCGTTTAAATGGTTATTTCTACATTTTGGAGCGCACCTTTTTGTTGCCGTTTTCAAACAGGTCGTCGTTACTCGCCAGCGGATCTTCTTGGTCGTCTCGGTCCTAAATGAACATTATGAATGATATAATGTTGAAGGAGGTAGCGGCGGCGCAGGACGGTGCCCTTCCAGCGGCCTCCTCTCGGAGTCAATCGCTTTCTTTCCAGGGGGGTTTTCCGTCCTCGACCTTATTGTGCCACACTCACCTGTGCAGCGTCTTTGGGGGTCTTCTTGAGGAGCCCGCCGAACAGACCTCCTTTCTCCTGATGAAAAACAGTCACATTTCCTCACTTTACCCGACGCCGTCTCAGAGCACGCAGTCCATCGGCCTTCTACCCGACGCGGGACTCCTTGCGTGAGATACACGAGTGACGCCTCAAACCCCCCGACCTCACTGACCTCGTCGAACAGGTTGTCGATGCTGGCGGACCTTTTGAAGATTCCGGCCAGGCCGCCTCTTTTCTCCTAAAGCAGTTTGGGGTTATACGTTTAAAAAACACACAAAAAAGAACAGCGATGACTTTTGTTTTGAAAGGAGCTCGACGCAGCACAGGAAGACATCGTCTCCCAGGACGTGAGGCCTGTGATCGGCTGTCGGCGGACGGCGGTCTTTGATCAAAGGGACGTACCTTTGACAGATTCTCACAGCTGCCGGATGAATGCTTCTCTGGGTTCCCCTCCTGCATTCAAACCAGAAAACTGTTAAATCAAATACATGTATAATATATAAATAAATAGCTGCAAGGACTGAATGCATCAAGCCAACGCACATCGTCTGCTGCAGGTTCCTCGGCCGGTCTCTGCGGCTTCTTAAACATGTTGCTGAAAATGTTTCTCTCCTGGAAAAAGAACACGTGTTGGTCAGCGAGCGGCTCGCGCGACGACGTTCGTACCTCCCGGGTGCGACGCGTCGGACTCCCACCTTAGCGGGGACGTCCTCGGGGACGTCGGCGGCGCTGGTCGGCGGCTCGTTCTGAGCTTCTCGTTCCTGAAACACGGAAACGTTCGATTCATCAAACCCGCCAGAACGAGGCGAAGGTTTAAGAACTCACACACACACACACACACCGGTGACTTTGTCCTCTCTCTGGGGGATTTGGGGGTCTTCTTGAGGAGTCCACTGAACAGACCTCCACCTTTCTCCTGATCAGATACACAGGAAACGTTTGTTGAGGTATTGAAAGTCTTTACAAAGCTTCTGCCGTTTTGTTGACAAGTGATCAACAATCTCTGACTTTATATCACAGACCTGTTTGTTCTCAGGTGAATTCTCGATGCAGGTTGAAAGTTCGCCGTGAGTAGAACAATCCTATGAAAAGGGTTGAAAAGTTGAGGGAGAAAACATCTTTTTAAACTGTTATTTAAAATGTAGTATTGCAATTTCTACGAGAATCTGTAACTCGTGATGAACAGAAAAGCGGTTTGCATCGTTTTACTTTTACCTCTTCGGCCTGAGCAGCTTCTGCAGGTTTGAGAGTTTTCTTGAACATTCCACCAAATATTCCTCCTTTTTCCTAAAAGGTCAGGCAGTGAGTGACGGCTCTATAACGACATTAAATGGATGAACGAGGGACTGAATAATCTCACCTTGGTGTCGAGTGCGTCGCTGCTGCCCGAGAGCTCATCGTCCCGCGAGTCCTGACAAGAGATCAGAACCGGAGTACGAGCGCGTGTGTGAGAGACTACTTCTTTTACCCAAACCCGGACCGAAATGCTGGCCCAGTTGCATTATGGGTAAGGAAGCCGGACGCGTCTCTATAATGACATCACAGTAATGTGAACAGTTTGGACTTCTTACTTCCTCTGCTGGGGGACTGTCTGAAGGACGGGAGGACTTCTTGAAGAGTCCACTGAACGCTCCTCCTTTCTCCTGAGACACCAGCAGATGTTTAAACACACACTTTATATATTTATATATTTATTCACAGCTCAAAGGGAATAAAGTTCACGGCCAAACCCACCTTTGCTTTGGCAGCTTCGGACAGACTGTCATCGCTGGCCGAGAGATTCTTCTGGGCCGACAGATTCCCCTGAAAACGGGAAATGACTTTGTTAGTTTCTGTGTTTGATACATCGGGGACGTCGTCACGTTCACAGTTTGAGACGAGACCGCTGAGAGCGTAAACGTCCCACCTCGACCGGTCGGAGCCCGTCGGACAGTTTGGGAGATTTCTTGAACCTTCCACCGAAAACGCCTCCTTTCTGCTGCTGCGTGAGGAAAGAGAAGAAGACTCATCAAAGGCGTTTCCCCCCCGGTTACCACGGCAACGGGACCATCAGAGGCAAACAAGGAGCTTTATTCTAATCGGTTACTGTAAGATCCACATGAAGAAACGACGGATACATTTTGTCGCAAAATAGAAATATGTTTCTTTATTAACTAGTTAAGTTATTAACACATTTCCTCCCAAACAGGACATTCTGTTAAATTCCACATCGGGCGGTTTAGTCTCAGTTGTAACCAAAGCAGACTAACTTACTTTACCGTCGTCCCCAGACGGAGTCTCGTTGCTGTCGCTCGGCTCCGTTTGCAGCGACTTTTCATCCACAAACAAAAGACACGAACAGTTCAAACGCCCCGTTGCTTCGGTTTCATATATTCTTTTGTTACAATAAAGATCCTGATGTGGGATAATTCTGTATTAATGATAATGCAGCTGATATGAGGTTAATGTTTTTTCCTTGAAAATATCCTTGAATCTAAAAATAACTTCATCAATGTGTTACAACTCATTAATTACATCTTTATATCGCGCTTCCATGTTCTAATTATGTCACAATTGTTACTGAATATAATAGAAAAATGAGTAGTAAATAGATCAGGTCCTTTTATTCACTCAAATAGTTTTTCTCTTCCGGGGTTAAAACTCAAAAGAAGCATCGAGGCGTCACCTGCTCAGGTGTTCCCTCCGCGGGAAGCTTGGGAGACCTTCGCAGGATCCCGCTGAAGAATCCTCCTTTCTCCTGTCGACCTCCAGAGAATGAACCCACAGCGCCACCTACTGTCACATAAAAACCAAGCCCCATCCGCGCAGACTCACCTGTGAGCCGTCGCCGCCGTCGGCTGGATCATCGCGGAGAGACGGCTGGTCCTAAGAGGCAGAACGAGCAGGTTCAACATCAAGCGATGGCGCCACGTTTCCCGCTTCGGTTGAAATGAGATGAACGTTATTGGAGCTTTTTTTTTTTTTTCAGCTGAATCGCCACCTTGTCAGTTTGAGAAGCGTCGGGCGATTTCTTCTTAAACATCCCGCTGAATATTCCTCCTTTGTCCTGATGCAGACACGCACGCTCACTTAGGAAACACTTGTTGTACGTCTTCGCGTCCACTAAGTGGAGACATCTGCCGGTGCGGCGTCTCACCTTTTTGTTGCCGTTGTCAGACAGACTGTCGTTGCTGGCAGAAAGTTCGCCGGGGACACCGAGGACGTCCTGAAGAAACCAATGAGATCCACATAAAAATAGTGAATAATAATAGTTTTCCAGTTTTCTGTTAAGGAGGAGGAAGACATTTCTCACCTGTGCAGGTGTCTCGTCTGTTGTTTGGAGGATGCCGGAGAAGAAGCCTCCCTTTTCCTGTAAAAAAGCTAATGTAGTTAACACAAATACACAAAACACACACACGCACGCACGCACACACACACACACGCACCAGATTGATGCCAGCAGTCGGTTTGGTCGGGACATTGTGCGTTTTTTCGTCTTTCTTGTGGATCAGGTAACTCTGAGAAACAAAAAGAACGGTATTTTGTGTGCGGCTCTTAAACAACGTATATTTCCGTGCACATCACGTCGATCCCATCGTAGAATAGTTTTTTGACTCAGTCATTGAACGTCTCACTGTACAACATTGTGTGAGCAGCTGACACACACACACACCCACCGTGTGTCAAAACACACAGGTGTGCGTCATGTGTGCACAAGCACAGACACACGCCCGTGTGTCGAAACCCACAGTCGTGTGTCGTGTGTCCAAACCTGCCAGACCGGAACCCGTTCAGATGAGGCAGCGTAGGACTTGTGATAGATTTGATCTGCATATTCATTTGTTTAGGATTTCAGAGTCAGTTATTGATCCTCCGGCTGCCCGTTACATGATTTGATCATGAACACGTTTAAGAGTTTGTACAAATCAAACACATTCAAGTTGACTTTTACACAAATGAGGTGCGTTTCTCACGGTGAACGAAGGCGTTTTCTCTTTCTGGCTCTGATGGAGGATTCCCGTCCGGACAAAGCGATCGCTCTGCAACAAAGCACACGACAATAAAGAGGACGGCGTCGAATAAACCGTTCATGAATCAGGTCAGAGCGGCCGGTTTAAAAAAAAGGCACAAACCTGTTTGAAGTCGACTTTATCACTGGGAACTTCAGACTGGCTCTGATGAGAAGAGGAACAAGCCTTCAGAAATGTACAAAGACAAGCGTGTGTAGTTTAACTGTGTGTGTGTGTCTTTGCCTGCACCCTCTTGTGATGGCTGCATCTGGTTGTGTCTTTATATTCCTGCACAAAGAGAAAGACGTTTGTAACAGAAACACCGTGTTTGACCTGTGAGCGGCTCAAAGATGAACTATGATTTAATTCAGACATGTTCACACATTACTAGTTATCGTTGCCGGTGTACTTTACATTACATATTTTGTGTGTAATGTACCTTTTCTGTGGGTCTGGGTGGAACCACAGGAGTTTGCATCCTGTTCCCATTTGCCTGATTCAAATTAAAAAAGGGGATAAAATACTTTTTAAATTTTTTTAAATGGTTTCCGACCATCTGGACCGTGATGCACAAAGCGTGCGAAGGCAACAATGAGCAGAATATTGGTTAAAGTACACAAAATCATACAAGTACTTATGTATTAACTTTTGACATATCTCCTCGCCACCTGTCGCTCTCTATCCGCTAAACTATGAACAACGGAAATTAAAACATATGCGTTAAATACCTCATTGTTCGCTGCTCTTTTCTTCCGATATTGTGTCTGAATCAGTTCCTTCACAGAAAAAAAAAACCCGCAAATGAACATCAGAACATTTCTTCTTTTTGTGAGTTGTAAATTCTTACAAGAAAATGCAGATTATCGTGTTACCAGAACTATATGGATTTTATGTATTCATCAACCCTCATTGAAAAGAAACACTCGCTCCAATTTAAACCAAAACGAACTCGTTTACTGAAACGTTGCCGCGTGCTGGAGAAAGGTCAGTAGACAAACAACTGTACCAACAGCGGCGTGAGCTTACGTCGTCAGAAGGCCGCTCGGGCACCAGAGGAGTCGGCTTCTTCCATTTCGCCGGGTCGTTTCTTTTGGGCTGCAAAGAAAGTTGGCGGAGGTGTGAAGCCATTCTGGAAGGCTCATTTGAAAACAAAATCCTACAGGGGTCACTGCACGCTGAGCACACGGCGAGAGCTTCATTCCTATTACAGTACCTCCGTGGGCTTCGGGGGAGGTTTGGGCTGCGAGTACAGAAGAAAACCGTTAAGCGTTTACTGCACAGTGTGTATAAATATACAATCAGTACTGGAGGGTTTGCAACATCGTTTTTTACTTAAAAAGGTTCTCACCGGCTTTGGCTTCTTCTTCACCTCTGGTTTGTCCGTGCACGCCTCCATCTTTGCCGGTTGTGCGTTTAGAGTTTTTGATCTACACCGTTTTTTGACACAGATTTAGTGTAATTTCACGTAGACTTAAAAGTAGCTTAGCATCGGTGTGCACAATAAGACTGGACACAGCTGTGATATTCTTCTGGTCCACTGGGGCCCTGGAGTGAAATCATCATTGTTAGTAACACATGTGAGTTTACCACTGTGAAAAGTTTGGCTTTTGTTGGTAAACAAATCGGTTGCACGCTCATCTGTTCCTTCCATCATATGACTGATTAGATGACTCAACACTTTTAAATCTGCATTTTGGGCTCTGGGAAGTTTTAATGTTACTTAGGTCATGACATCTTTTGAATAAAAATATATAATTTAAGCAAGAAAGCAATAATGTAACTTAGTTGAAGCCGTAAAGAAATAAATGAAAATGTCTGTGAATTTATTTAAACATAAAGGAGGAAATACTTGGTACAGTGGTCGCTGTATGACTCATTTGGAGAAGTAATACCGTCAAAAAACACATTTCCGATAAGTCAAACGAAATAAACGGGACTAAATATTACCGAACGCCGAGCAAACGTTAACATCGACGGTTTAAAAACACGCTCGGCAAAAATACGGGCGTGAGTCTAAAAAATAAAAAAAGACTAAAACTATATATAAAAACTAAATCGGTTCGCTGTCCAACTGAACGGTTTCACCTACCGACTGTTGGGAGAGAGAATAGAAGCCGGAGACGCTTCACAATCAGTTCTTAACGAGTTTCACCAGAAGCTCCTTCACGACATTCCCGGTTTTTAAGACTTTAACGTCACACCCGCAGAACAACATCTGCACACAAGAGGCGTTCAGGAGCCGCTCGGAAAGCTCCCAGATTACAGCGCTTCAGTCACACGCGGCACCGGCTCATATAAACGTGCCGGTGATTCCTTACGGATCTAAAACATCTCAAAGCCATTAAATTGTTGCCACACAATTTATCTGCACATTTGTTAATGCAGCACAATTCACATTTTAAAATGTATTTTATGTAATGCACTTTTTTTATTTAATGCATTTTTACGATCAACATTAATTTCTGGCACAAAATTATGTTTGAGATTAACAAAAAGTCATCTCATGCTAATCTATTATTTGGTGACACATTTTCAGTTGTTAAGCAGCGTTTGCTTAGATGATGTACAAATAGTTTGCAGTTGTATTTAAACTAATATTCGAGAACACACACAAAATGCAAGAAAGACTCATGAATGTGAAATAAAAGCATGAAATGTGTATTTTTGGGAGATACAATCCAAAACAGCAGCACCACAGGTGTCGCAGCTGCCATCTTCTCCTCTTCGAAGAGTAGAGGATGAAAGCTGTACAGGTACTTTACCTGCCGCATCCAACGTTTCTCGGGCGTATTTAGAGCCACGTGAGAAATCCTAAACGTTTCGGACAACACCCCAAATCCTAACACCCGCACAGGTAGATAACAATAGCGTGCGTAAAAAAACGGGACTCCGCCCCGAGACCCCTAAACCCCCTGGGGTGAAAACCCCTTTTCTCACATAAAACCCTTTGTCCCGGAGATAAAAAGGCATGGTATTAATATTCTCCTTGCTCCCAGTGAGAGAAAAGTTGGCCTTCCCCCCGTTTTTTTTTTTTTTTTTTGGGGGGGGGGGGGGGGGGGGGGGGTTGCCGTCGGAGGAGATGTGAAACCGCTGGTGTCCCTTCTGGCTTTGTGATGGCGGTCCACTCACCTGAGAGCACCTGTGTCCGCGGGAGTGGAACAATCGCGTTTCCTGAGTCTGACTCATTCACAGGTGATAACAACGTGTTGAGAGGGAGGTTCGGCCTGCAAATAGAAAAACAAGCCGCAGAATGAAATCGTCATCGGTGATTAAGAGCTTTTATTTGAGTCATTAGTCAATTTACAAAAATATTACATATCTACGAAGAGCTTCATGCGGAGTCTGCTTGGGTCGTGACGTCACGTGTCGCGAGTCATTACATCAGCAGGTGTGTCTTCTCCCACAAACCCGTCCATCAGTTTGATTCGCCACAGGTGGACTCCTCTCAAGGTGCAGAAATACGTCAAAAGACGATCGGGGGAGAAATATCCACCGGCACCTGAGTCTGCAGGTTCGGTTTAGTCGCATTTGGTGACCTGTAAAAAGCAACGTACATCTGTGACGTCACTGCTGGGTGTGCTGGCCTGATGTCCAGTGGTTAAGTTGCTCCTTAAGACCGTGTGGAAGCATAAATGTGGCACTGTGTTTATGATGTATTTAAGTTCTTCATAATGCAAAACGTGCAAAGGGTGAGCGAGGTGCAGCAACGCAAGTTTTTAATTCCACTTATCATGGAAAGTGAGAAAGGTAAAGAGTGCCGGAGGTGACTTTGATAAGCGAGTAAAGGTTTGTTCAAACAGCAGCTCAGCAAGAGCAACGTTAAAGCTTGAAGATTACAAAGCAACAAAGGAAATCTTTCTTTTAATTACTTTAATAATTGCATTACTTATTACAGTTTTACAATATATTGCACAGAAAGATGTAGTGTCGAACTATCACCTCCACCCAGACACATAAATATCAGGTTAATTAAACAAAACACAGAACGGACATCGGCGCTCGTCTTAAGTTTGCAATAATAAAACATCAGGACAGAAGACGTGGTAGAAACTCAACCAGTTTCAAGTAGTGAAAGGAAACAAAGTGACCGTCATATTTTCCCGTTGAGTTCCCTGGTTATGTTTCTCCAGCCGCTCAAAGTCTTTACGAATAAAAAAAACATTACACATCAAATTAAACAAGTGAATATTTACACCCAGTAACTGACAGGTGTAACAACTTCTTAGCTTGTTTAAAAGGAGGCGTTTCAGAGACAATATTAAGTTTGGTCGACAAACCGCACATTAAAAACCTGTTAAATAATGTTAGTAAATAGTAATAACTAAATAAAGTTGTTTGCATTAACAGATATTTCCCAATCATCCTACAATGGAAAATACAACAAACTCCAAAACACACATTTCTCTATGAATGCATATTTAATAAAGAAAACTATTTCAATAAGTCACTTGTTGCCCAGACGAGTTATTCAGCTTGTGACTTCTAACAGGCGTTGAGCCTTTCTAGCTGACACATTCCTAAAGTGTACTTGTGTGATCCAGATTTAGTCAAACGAGTAGAAGTTAGTGAGAACTTAAAGATAAAAAGGCTGGAGCAAAACGCTCCTGTCTCTAAGCATACGAATCCCCATAAAACTCTCAGCAACACTTTAAAGTCTAAATGATGACAATGTTTTCTAAAACTGTACCACCCAAACACACATGGTGCAGTTGCATCTTGCAGGACCTCGTTCTCAAAGACTACGTGCAGCTTCGCCCTCAAAAGGAGCAGATAGTTCCTCTCAGGGGCTGATTCGCAGATTCGAGCGGTCGGGTCCATAGAACGACCGATCGGAAGCGTTAGAAGCTGCTGCGTGTCATTGTGTGAAGTTCCCTCCCACAACGGAGCCGTGCGTTTGGGCTTTGAGCAGATACCCGACGTTTTGCATCCAGAAACACAACTTCAGGCTTTTTCTTCTACTTTCCTCAAACGTATTCTCGGTTCTCGTAGTCCTTTTTTATGGCTTTCTTGATGCGGTCGATCTCATCTTCGCTCGATTCGTCCCCTTTGTCCTCCGTCTCTTTGCCGCCGCCGCCGTCCAAAGCGGCCGGAGCCTCGGCCGCGCGGCCCTCCGGCGAGGTGGCCTGCAGCTCCTCTCGGATGCCGTTGAGCTCCACCAGGCCCTCGTGCAGCTGCGTCGCCACCTCCCGGATCTTGGCGGCAAACTCCGACTTGGCGCCTTTCTTGAGCTCCTTGGAGTCTTTGGCCACGAAGTAGATGTCCATCCCGACGAAAAGCCCCGTGAGCACGCCCGTGGCCATGCTGGCGATCTGGACCGCCCTGGCCGCGGTGCTGCCCGCCACGTTGGCGATCTGCACCACGCGCATGATCTCGTTGGCGTTGATGAGGATGGCCTTTCCCGCCATGGCGCCGTCCTCGTAGAAACTGCTGCTGAGCGCGGGGAAGTCGCGGTTGTAGGCGTGTTTTTTCATCTTGATCAGGTCGAACCTCTTCAGGTTCTCGATCCCCCGCTTGATGAACTTCAGGCACTTGTCCAGGTCGACCATCTTCTCCTGATAGTCCTGCACGATCTTCTCCACCTTCTTGCGGTCCATCGAGTTGTTGACCTGGTTGGAGATGCCGGCGCCCGCGGAGGTCAGGCCGCCCGCCGTGGCGACCCCCAATCCCACCGCCGTCACGATCAAGGAGATACCCATGGTGACCGGGGCCAGGGCGAGGCCGGTGATGGTGGCCACGCCGCCGATGGCGCTGGTGGAGCCGCCGGTGATCTGGGCGATCTTGGTGTTCTTGTTGAACTTGTCCAGGCCGTCTGCGATGCCGTTGAGATCGATGACGTGCTGCCAGAGGCTCTCGGCGCGCTCCGAGAAGAGCTTGTTGAACACGCGGATTCCTTTCTGCACCTTCTCGGCCGTCACAGCGAACGCCCTGAGACAAACACGTTACCGGGCGAGGTTTAGGAGATCTCCCAAAACGGAAGCGGTCTTCAAAGCCAGAAATAAGAGATACACGTTTTATATTAACGGCTCCCGCAGCCCTCACTCACTTGGCCTCTTCCTTTTCGGTCATGTCATCGTCTTGAGGCGTGTCCTCCCAAGCTGAGGACGGGAAAGCGTGAAACAATGATGTCAAGTCAAATGTTGTGACATCAACATGCACATTAATCCATCGATATAACTTGAATATCGATTTATATTTAGCTTTTTATATTTGCCGTTGAGCACCGGGGGGCTTTGTTCTGAAACAGGAAATTGTTGTCTAAAACATAATTGCCTAAATTAGTGGAACTAAGGGGCCCAAAACATCGATATCCACATACTTTTGGCGGTGCAAATAGAAAGAAGAAATCGGGCCTTTTACTGTCAGATAAAATCTAAAAGAGTGAAAAACTTTTTATTTGTAACTTACAGTCCACTTGGTTCCACCACTCCATGAGGTTCTCCACATCCTGAAAGAACCCACGAGATTGATACGGGACGGTTTGTCAATGGTGGGGAAACAAACGGTTGATAACGAGGCATCAGATTGAGATGTTACGACGGCGACCCGGTGGCCCGGTGAGCTTTGGGAACCAACCTGTCTGTCCTCGGCCTGCGACGGGTCCACGCGGAAGTCCTCCAGCCGGTCAAACAAGCATCTATTTCCACCGTCGTTCTGAAACAACAGAAAAAAGGAATAAGTGTTCACTCACGTCAACACGACAACACTAAAGGCCAAGAATTTAAATCCACTCGACGCGTGTCCCGAATCCTCACTAGAGCCTTTCCAGAGCGACCCTTGCGTCGCTTTTCACACCTCGTTGCGTCCTTGCGTGTGTCGAGATATTTTTCTAGACTAGCGTCAAAAGCTACGCAGCCTCCCGCAGCGCAGCAGGCTGCGATTGGTCCGCTGACTACGTCCTTTACGGAGTCTCACATTTCCGCTTTCACAGCACAATACCGTCATTATTAAAATCAAGAATGTTTACGAGAGAAACGGATCAGATTGAAGAACTTTTGTCAGAATAAATGTGTAAATATGAGCGCTTATACAAGCCGTCATTGGCGGACTATGAGGACGCGCGGATGGCCTCTGATTCACGGAGGGAGATCGCCGCAAACGCCGGTTTGCCGGTCGAGGGGAACAAAGTTGTGGAGGAAAATACGGGACAAATGTGTCCGCGATGAAAAGCAGCAGTGTGGATGCACGGGGCAATAAAGTCTATGATAAATAAATAAACAAATAAATAAATAGACGTGACTCTCTAGGTCGTCTTCCACAGAAACACGTCACTGCGCCTGTTGTTCTGGAGGTGAATCGCTCTGCGACACACGCAAGACTTTACAACCATGAAGTGAAACCAGTGCGTCGACGCAACGACGCAGACGCACTCGTTTCAATCCGCTTAACCCCGTTCGCGCTGTGAAAGGTCGGATGGGGCCGAGGAAGTGACAGTAAAAAGCATTCTGAGTGTGCTGGGTTGTTTTTTTTGCAGAAGTGGGAAAATTTTCCATAGACACAAAAAAGGAAGCACGAAAACAGGTCGGGACACATTGCAACCTAATCTCATGTCCTCTTCCATAGAACCGCACGAAACACGGCGTGGGGGTTGGGATGGGTGTCATGTCGAGAGTGGAGGGGGGAGAAAAAAAAAGAGACGATTGCTTCACATGGGTGTTTTCTCGGGGGTCATGTGACTGTGACCACGATGAGCACGACGGGAACCCGTAAGCCTGCAAACACGCTGGCAGAAGTGTTAAACGTTTCCTGGGAGCCGACTGATAAAAAGTGGAATTCGTTCAGATGATCGATGAGCGTTTAATGAACTCTACCTCTGCAGCTGCATCCTGTGCGTTCCTGCGCACAACTCTGCCCTGAAACAGACACACATTTCAATCATCAACGGCACATTCTGACTTTTGTCTAGCGTGTTGTCCTTAATTATGCAAACCCAAAGGGCAGTTAAGGTGATGCAGGAGTGGTTTAAATAAAGCATCGGGGGAAACAATGCTTTCCACAGGTTGCAAACAGGTTTGTGCACGTCACCTTGGCGCGAGGCATGAAGGGATTGTGTCTCTTTGGCTTCTTGATTTTGGCCTGAAAACAAAATTCAGGAGGGAAGAGGAAGTTGTTGTTCCTGATTGCATGATACCCATTCAACGCACAAACATTTAGTTAAATAAAGGAGTTCAACTACCTCCGTTTTGTCCTGACCCTCTTCCGCTTTCTTGTCCTCTTTAGAAGAAGGAGCCTCTTCCTCTTCCAGCCCTTCATCATCGGACTGAGGCTGCAAAGCAAATCAGGGTTGCACGAGAACTCTTTCCCGATTTTAAAATACATTTAAACACCGCGAGCCCTTTGTCGCACACGTTTGAGGCTTTACGGAATCAACAATAGTTTATACAAGTTGAAGTAGATGCAAAGATGAAAAAAGGTCCTCGCGACTCGTTTGACTCGTTTGTATGAAGAGTAGAAATCCAGAACACACCTTGGCTCCGGCATGTGGCATAAACGGATTGTGGTGCTTCTGTTTTCTCACCGTGGTCTGTGTAAACAAAAACATGACAGTGACAAAGCGAAAAACTTTAGAGCTCTTTTAGCACTTAGTGTTTGGTCCATGCAAATACTCGCCCCTCTGCATCTTTGGCTTTAAAAAATGAATTAATTTTAAATTAATAAAATGATTAAATGATGGATGGACGACAGAAAGAGAGCGAGCTGAATAAGTCATCATAACCGTAAAGGCTTCTGAAGGGAAAACAACAGTTAAAAGCTGTACGTTAAGGGTTGAAGTTATTGGCAGGAAGCAGGAAATAGAACAATTAAATCCTGGCACGATACTTGTCGTGTTGGTTTTGTGCGGTTTGTGAGGCAAATGTGGGTTCAACACACACACACACACACACACACACACACAGACATACTAAAGGTCAATGAGTCGGCCTCTATTGTATGACAATCAGCGTGTGTGTGAACAGAAGTAGTCGGAGCTCGAGGGTGAAAACAGGATTGTGATTATTATTAAATGCAGTTTAATAACGGGGAAGAAATTGACCTACACTTTTGCTTTCTGGAAGTTTCCTCTCGTCTTCCTCTTTGAGGCCTTCGTCTTCTGTTTGGCTCTGCAGCAAATTTAAACTCATGTCATTAGAATTACATTCAAAGGATGTTCTGTCTTTGTTCAGGGTTCCTCACAGCTGTTGTCCCTTTGGTGAAGATTACTTAAGCTGCGTTTAAAAAAGTTGGAATAATAAAATTTATTATATTTTACTCCACTAAAAAGGTTGAATTACCTCAATCAAATTCTTGTATTTAAATATACTCCCCCTTCTTCAGGAAATAAAATCTAATTTCATGAACACGCTCATTTCAAAGGCTGATGCACAACGAGATGTTTCCTCATCACACGGAGAAACCTTCCCATGACGACATGCTTTCTTTCATGACACGCCTTCACATGTTCAGCCAGAAATCCGCCGTACCTGATTCTCCACGGCGTCTCCCGCTGTGGCGCCGGCGTGTGTGGACATCTTCCTCATCTCCTGTGGACGGCTGTCACAGGTCAGAGGAGCTCGGACCACACGGCGCGCTGTCGATCGAGCTGCTCGCAGACCTCGCCAGCTGGTCGGCGCGGAAGCGGCGGAGATTCATTTCTGCCCTTCGCCTCTCGCCGGATCACGTTCCCTTCGACCTGACGAGGACAGGCCCAGAATTCGAGGGGGGTGGGGGGGGCGTCCGTGGGGGGGGGGGCGTGAGGAGAAAAGGGCGTTTTTGACAGAAGTTGATCAGCTTGTGCGAGTGTGCGCGACCACTGATGACGCACGAGTGATGCGAAAAAATAGAATCCTCAGCTTTGGATTCTCTTCCCCTTGTTTCTCGTTCTCGTCTTTCTGAATAAAGGACTTTCAGCTTTTAGACGTTTCACTAAACGGGGGGAGGGATATTTAAAATATCCCTAAGATTTACACCATCATCATGATCTTCTGTCACCTGAAACATCCACGATGACCAAACATCATTACTCCGTTTGCACAGTGGGATGGATTCAGTCGGATCTCTAAATCTAATTTTTTTATCTGCAAAATGTCCACTATTGGCGGGACAGTTTGTGCCGATTAGCACGATTAGCCTTCTCAGTTGAAACCCGTGAGCACAGACAGGTGAGCACAGGCGTTTCCCCACAGATGTCATTTTACTAGTTGGGTTTTATGAGGCCCGGGGCGCCGCCGAGGTTGTTGCTGGGTTTGGTTTGGTTGCTCAACATCGCCCCCCGGTCTCGCCCCGCCTCCCTCGCCTCCCTACACTGAACTTGGCAAATAAAAGCCTAAAGGATTACCGTAATAAACATGTTCTTTGCCAAACGGGTTTGAGCTGATTGTAGATATTTGAAGCGGTTCTCTGTGACACGCGCTTCTCAACAAGACCTGGCAAGTCAACTGAGGTCGACTCCTTCGTCCGCGTTGAAATCTCCCCTCTCTGTTTACTAAATGTCAAAGCACCTGTTTGTCCGCATCGCGCTCCTTGTCGTCGGCGCCCGTCGGCTTCTCGTGCTGCAGAGACGACAGAGGTTACTTTGGAAAACACATACACACATATTTTCCGCACTGTAAGGCGCACCTTCAATGAGTGACCTATGTTAGAACATGTTATCACATGTAGGATTATAAGGCGCATAAGAATGGCGTGTTTGGCAGAGCGCCTTGAGCGCCGTGTACAACCAGTATGGATCAACCGATTAACCAATTGATCCATTAATATAAGGCGCTCCGGATTATAAGGCACTGTGGTTTCTTTGAGGAAATTAAATCCCTTTAAGTGCGCCTTGGAGTGCGGAAAATACGGTAAATGGAACTTTTTTTATCTATATAATTATTCTTAAGCACTTTTAAAATAGAAACCTTACTTTGTTTGCAGAGCGGAAAGGGTTCATCTTTCCCATCGCCTCAGAAAATTTACTCTGAATACGCAAGAAAGCACAAAACCAGTAAGTCAGTAAGGAGCGAATACGGAAATGACGTTTAACATCAAAACTTCACTGATGAGCACTCGAAAAAACCTGTTTCTGGCTGAGCGGAGTCTCTCCACCGTCCGGCACCTCCGGCTCGCACTCAGAGTTCTTCTCCTGCAGACGGAGCGAATACACGTACCGCTTTTTACATCTTCTTTGCTTCATGCATCACTTCATGTTTAGAACATGTTCAGGCTTTAACGTCTCCAAAACGATGACGTGGTCGTGCACTTGTGATTTGTCAGATGTCGCATGAGTGAGGTTAAATTACCCGAGATGTGGAGGTAAAAGGATTCCTCAGGATCTTCGCTGCAGCTCCACCCTGACGTACAATTCAAGGCGGTGCGAGTTACAAGCCGATTTTCATCTACTGCACATTCGTGTTAGCGTGAGCTCGGCGCAGGTGAACGCTCACCTGGGACGACTTCTCTGTGAGCGCGACGCTGCTGGCGGAGAGTTCCCCGTCCTCAGACAAATCATCCTAAACAGACAAATACATTAAAAAAAACACAAAATAAACAGCCAAAGTATCGGCGGCTTCAAACAAATCTACAGACCGAATCCACAAACTAAACTTCCCTTAAAAACCTCCCTTGAGTCTCGTCATGCTAAACAAAATATGCCTGAAACAGCACACCTCCCTTTCGGATTGGAAGAACCCGCCGTTGACCAACCTTGACCTCACCTGCGACTGCGATTTGGCCCCTTTTCTTTTGAACACGCCGCCGAAGAACCCTCCTTTCTCCTGAGGGGAAAAAAAACGGCACGGGACCAAAGCGTAAACGTCAACTGCGTTGACTGTGAAGTCGCGGCCTTTGAGCCGGTCCGCGGAACTCACCGCGGCGTTCTCCGACAGGCTGTCTCTGCTCCCGGAGAGCTCCCTGGGCTCAGATAAACCCTCCTGAGGGAGACCACGGTAAACCAGTCAGTAACGACCCCGGCGGGCCGGGGGACTCGCGGCAGCCCGGCACGGTGGACGGCGCTCACCTGAGATTGCGTCCTCGCTCCGAAAGGCTTTGGGGACTTTTTAAACATCCCACCGAACACCCCTCCTGGTCCCTGGAGGAACACATTCAAATGCTTTTTTGGCGAATGTAGAACTTAAATTGAGGAGCTCGTCTCTGGTTTTCGAAAGCCTCACCTTAGTGTTGCTGTTCGCAGAAAGGTTGTCGTTGCTGCCTGAGGCTTCGCCGGGTGCCGACAAATCCTCCTAAAAAAGGAAGAAGAAACGGCCCCGATCGCTCATTATCATCCCCTCACGTCGAACCTCCAATGCAACACGGGGGAAAGTGAGACGCACAACTCTCACCTGAGATTGTGTCCTCGCTCCGAAAGGCTTGGGGGGCTTTTTAAACACGCCGTTGAACAGCCCTCCTGGCTCCTGCAGACAGAAGGGCACGTGAGAATGAATCCACAGAGGAGGAATTGATCTGAGGTCAAATGGGCCTGCAGGGACTTCAAGAATCCCCCCGCATGCAAATAGTGATGAGAATTACCTCAACGTGTCCCAAACGCGCCGCTTGCAGTGATTTCTACTTATTAATCATCTAAATGCAGAGACCTCATCCAAACTAAAGGGAGCCCAACCGGCCCAACCGGCAAAAAGAAAGCATTGAAACAGAGAAAGCAGGCGAATGGCCGCGTGTGGGACGGTGGTGTCATGTGACTGCAGCTTTAGTGCGAGGAGACACTTCACCTTAGTGTTGCTCTTCACAGAGAGGTCGTCTTTGCTGGCCGAGAGGTCGCGGGACGCAGACACGTCCTCCTGAGGGCGAGACACAAACGTACCGTCATCGTCTTCCAATAAAAGGTCAAAGTGAGAGAAAAGAGCGAGACGCACGACTCTCACCTGTGATTGTGTCCTCGCTCCAAACGGCTTGGACTTTTTAAACATCCCGCCGAACACCCCTTTTTTCTCCTGGAGGGAAAAGCCAAATAGTTCTAATAATTATACACGTGATAAGTGAAACGACCCCGTTGGCTTTGTGTTTCGATGCTGCTGTCAGGGGGGGGGGGGCAGGCGGGCGGGGCAGCGCGTCTCCTGAATCGCTGATGCATGCGGGTTCGAAGCATGCGCTTCCAAAGCACACAGAGCGACAACAAACGCACACCCGTCTCACAACTCACCGTCCCGTGGGGCGACGGCTACACACCTGCTGTGGGTTAAACAACGTTTGATTCATGTTCTAATACTTTCATGCGATTTCATTGTAGTTTATGTAGAACACAAAAATAAGCAAGCAAACATTAGGAATTTGTTTCAATATTTACAAATATTGGGGGATAAAAATCATCTTTTTACAATGATTTATTGGAAGACAAAAAAAATCTAAAATACGTTCTATTCAGTTAATTTATTATACTCAATATTCTTTGTATTGTGTCACATTCGTGTATCGGTTTTGTACGAGTGTTACTTTTGTCGTACTGCACTCATCGTTGATTTTGTTGATGTTGCAGTTTTTCGTTTTGTAAAATAAAATAATCACTCGGCTGACGAGACTCGCCTTCGTTGCGGCGTTCTCAGACAGACTGTCGTTGCTCGCCGTGAACTCCGAGTCCAAAAGATCCTGAAAACACACGAGGTTACGAGCCTCTTCCTGAAACAACACAACGCTTGTCATCGTAGATCATGTTTCACCTGCGAAGGCCTCCGGACGTGTCCGGCTTTAGATCGCTTGAGAAGACCGC